AAAGATTCATCATTACCCACTCCATATCTAGTGCCGTGAAGTATCTATGCATAAAACCTGACAGTTCAATCCTCTGAAGGTGGTTTATTTTAATTAGAAAAATTCCAGTTTTAATCCAAGACCTCTAGCCTTTCAAATATTTCATATCTTTGCTTGTGGCTTATGTATCCATGTGTCATACACTCATACATGCAGTAATGCAGTATATCTGTGCCATATTGTGTGTTTTGCACCTTAGCCAATGAAAGTATCTTGTGTAACCCTTAGTAGCATTGTGTTCTTAGTCAATAATGGGTATTGACCCAATAACATGCTGCTCTATATGTTGTTGAGATATTCATCTAATGCACCGTGTTCTCACAGGCAGCAGCTGTTGCACACACTCTTTTCTGCATGTGCTACAAATTCAGTTTGCAAGTTGAGAATGCCAATATTCTTCTTTTGCTCGCAGAGATTCACAAGGTACTTAGAATTTCAGCTCTGGTTTACTTTGGGTTTCATGTTAGTGAACTAGAACTACAAAATCACTAGGGATCATATTGCATGGTTGGCATAAGATGTCTCCTTGTGTAAACATTTGGATTTTAATTTGTTTGTAAGTCAACATTACTTAATTGAAGTTAAATCCTTTTTTCCATTTCAGAAATCAGGCAATGCTGTTTTAGGAATTCCATATGCATTGGCCAGCCTTTCCTTTTGCCAATCTTTTAACTTGGATCTTCTCAAAGCCTCTGCTACACTGACATTGGCTGAGTTATGGCTCTCACTTGGGTCGAGCCATGCAAAAAGGGCTTTGGCTCTCATACATTCTGCTTTTCCTATACTTCTTGGTCATGGTGGTCTTGAGCTTCGTGCTCGGGCCTTCATTACAGAAGCAAAATGTTATCTAGCTGACTCAAGCTTTTCAGGTATTTTTGTATTTCTCTTCTTCATTTTAGACCATATGGGTGCAATTACATTTAAATTCAATGAAGCTTCAAGATAATTGTCATTTAGCAAGTTGGTTACCCTCATTTTTTAATTTGATTGTTTTTGATCTTACAACTGTAGTGAAGTTATTAGCTGGCCTCTATGCTTAATATGGGGTTCATGCATTGTGATCTTCTAGGCTTCTAGCAAATTGCCTTTGCTGGACTATCTCATGAAATGCATTATTGGTCACAATTCTCTCAATCTGGCTTGCATATACTAATCTAATGATCAGAGAAAGCTGCTTATATCTGAAGGTTGAAAAGTGACAACCTGAGTAGCAAGCAATGAACAAATGAATACCCACAAAATGAAATTTTGCTTCAAAGCTGTAAAACACTTTAGACTGAAACATTTTGTTGAAAGGCATACTCGAGGCATAATGTCATAGCATGTCAGATCTAATGTAAAGCACTGCAGTGCCACCATTTTCCTACCAGGGAAATGTTCTTGGACACACTAGGTTAATAAGGCCCCCAAATTATGGATGCTAGTATCCACTGTCCTTTAAGCTTCTATAACAGCTTTATCTTTGATTTTCTAAGGCAAACTGTACTATGAAAGGTGGTAAACTCTGCTTATCTTCCTTCCCAAGAACTATAAAGTGCAGGAGCATAGTGTACTGTGTTGGCATCAATCGTAACATATACTCTGTAGTACTAATGATTTCTTTGGTACTGTAATATGATTCCTGAATAGCTATGCTAGGATTTTGATTAATTGTTAACCACTGTCTAAATTTCATGAAAAAAGAGGGCTTCCACTTCAACAGATTTTGGTTTTGCACTTCTCTGGAAAAGTCTGGTCCAGTTGGAATTGGAAAAGTCCTAGTGTGCTTTAGGTCTTGTATGAGAACTGAGAAGATCATTTGAGTCCTCTCTTGATTGGCACATAGAAGTATAGAACACATTGAACTAATTGTATCTATACTTATTTGATGTATTTCCGCTTGACTTTGGTCAGGCATCTTATTCCAAGTATAATCCGAGTATCTGACCATAAACATCCTTATCCTTCTCCCAGTATATGAAGAACCAGAAAACGTGCTTCAACCTTTAAGGCAAGCTTTGGAAGATTTGGAACATCTAGAGGTCAGTCTGATTTTTATATTTTAATATAATTGCATGTAATCGATTTGAAAATGGATTTCCCTATATTTAGGGTCCGTTTGGAAATTCGGAAATTCCAGATTTTCCTGTGTTTGGGTATTCAAGGACAATAGAGTCCTCACTTACCACCACCACCATCACCACCACACCACCTCCACCACCATCACACCACTACCACCACACTACCACTTATTATTATTATTATTATTATTATTATTATTATTATTATATAACAAATAATATGTTCATTTTTCGGAAAATGAACCAAACATGAAAAATGCAATTTTAAACTTTTAGCCAAACAGAAAACTACCGGTCAATCATTAGAAAATCAGTCATGTTTCAAAAGGGACCCTTTAGTGTTTGATTTGCTGATACTCAAGACAAAATTTATGTCACTATTGGGACATATACTTTACATGGCTTCTTCAAATGTGTACAGTTTCATGAGTTGGCAGCAGAAGCTTTTTACCTGATGGCTGTAGTGTATGACAAGTTGGGAATGGTGAATGAGAGGGAAGATGCTGCATCATCGTTTAAGGAACACATTTTGGCGCTGGAGCAACCTTTGAACGATTAAGATAGTCGGTTCATTTAATTGCGATGTAACTTCGTATGAAAGAAACATACATGTCATGTGTGCTTCGCTTGTAGTGACTAATGCTAAGTCTCTTGTACAGGCTGTACTGTTGTAGAAGTTCACAATGTATGCCTTTAGATCAAGGTTTCTGTTTGAATTAACTTGAACATTTTTTTTTTCTTGTGAAATTTGTAGTTCTAATGAAAAAAATCAGTGTTCTATCTATTTTTTTTTTTTAAATAATTCATATTGCATTATTATAAGGCATTAAGGCTTAGGCGACAACTGTGTATTTTATATTTTAATTATTTTTATTTCACTATTCCAGATTTTCATTCCACGTTCCAACCCTAAATCCTCCGTATTTCACTTCAGCCTAACAGCCTTCACCCCCTTGGTTCTGAGTTCTGACTTCCGCCTTCAGCCTTCAGCCTTCAGCCCCTTGGTTCTGTGTTCTGATTTTCGCCTTCTGCCATTCACTCTTCGTCTCATCGGTTTTCCCTTCGGCCTTCACAGAATGAAAGAGAGTCAGAGACACGTCGGCTACGGTAACAACCCGTTTGCGGCAATGTCTGCAAGTGAGTCGTGACCTCCGTCTTCCGGCGAGTCATCATAGACCGCACAAACCTCGTCTATTACTCTCCTCGTTTGTCTTCGTCGGATTGTTGCATTCCAATCGGTCACCAGCAGAGCCATCGCCCACTAGCTACTCAGCCACCAGGTATCTTACCGTGCATCACACGATAGTAAGATACTAGTGCAATATAAAGCGAGGGAGTCGGCTTGCTAAGTTGATTATAAGGTATAAACTTATAATATGGGATGAAGCTCCAATGATGCACAAATATTACTTTGAAGCTTTTGACAAAAGTTTGCGCGAGATCTTGCAGTTTATCAATCCATTGAGTTCAGAAAGGCAAATTATATCGTGCACCGCGGTGCATAATGAATTATGCACCGAGTTTCAAAACGACGTCGTTTTGTTTAATGAAAAGAAATGGCACCTGTTCTGTGCCGTTTCGCAAAAAGTAACTCTGTTATTCAATTTCATTTTGTATACACTGCAGTTTCAGTTCAACACAATTACAAATTCATTTCGATATAACTACAGTTTCGTTCGATATTTATACACTCAAATATGTGAAAATGTTATTTAATTTTATTTTATATACATTATAATTTCATTAAACCACAACTCCATGATCATTTCGATATAACTACAGCTTCATTGCATAATATAAACTCAAATATGTGAAATGTTATTCAGTTTCATTTTATATACACTACAGTATCATTTTGATATAATTGCAGTTTCATTTGATAATATATAAAATAATACGTGAGGCAGTTTCGGTTTAAATACACTGTAGTTTCAGTTGGTATTTAACACACCAAAAAATGCACGCTCCGTTAACAGTAACAACACGCCGTTTCTTTACTTAAAGAAACGGCGCACCGCAGTCCACGATATAATGACTGGTTCAGAAATGCCTTTTGGAGGAAAAATAATTGTAGAGGAATTGTACTAGTAATTTAAAAAATGAAATATTGTTAATGCCCGACTCGTATAGCCCGCGGGCTTGACATTAAAAAAAAAAAAAAACCATTCTTATATACAACATTAAAGACTAGGACTATGTGGTCTAATGGTACTCGGGTTAGACTTTTATTTGGAAGATTATGAGTTCGAGCCTAAGTGGAGCCAGTAGCTTTCAAACATACGGCATTAAGGCTTATGTGACAATTGTGTATTTTATATTTTAATTATTTTTATTTCACTATTTCTAGAGACACGTCGGCGGGGGGTGGTGTGGCAGGGGCCGGCCTAACCTGTGTGCCAGGGGTGTGGCGGTTTGGGCGAGTAAAATCCAAGCTCGCTAAGAAGTGATTTTTTTTTTTTTTTTTTACCTGTCCCGCCAGCCCGTATTGATAGCTCTACATTCATATATGCTATTTGGATTGTACTAAACCCTTGTTCACTTAGTAATCAATAATTAAGCCAAGCTAATATCGGTTGTACCTTGACTGGTACAAAAGGTACTGATATTGATTCACGTATTATTATTATTATTATTATTATTATTATTATTATTATTATTATTATTATTATTATTATTATTATTATTATTATTATTATTGAAACTCCGTTAGTTATTTTATTTACAAAATCTAAAAAAAAAATAAAAATTGGGCCAAATATCTTTCTCCAAACTAATAATTAAATAAGCAACTATATCCATTTTAAAATCAATGATTTATGGAGCGGACTATATGCACATCCAATATTCACACACTTATAAAAGAGTCATTTGCTACACTCATCTCCATCACTACACGTTGAAACAAACATACAGACATGGATACCAACCAAAGAGCTGCCATGTTTGTGTTTATCACTTGCTCTGCATTTCTCGTCCTCTCTTCTCCGCCCTTAGCCGCCGCCGAATGCATAAGAAACCCCGTTATCTTCAACTTCGGCGACTCCAACTCAGACACCGGCGGTTATCCCGCCGCGCACGGCAACATTTTCGGATACCCCGACGGTCGTACGTTCTTCCACCGATCTTCCGACCGACTCTGCGATGGACGTTTGATTATCGATTTCCTATGTAAGGAACAACATTTTCATTTATTTTATCATGTGTTTAAAAACTAGGAAAATAACTTCTAGAAAATATTTCATGGAGGTTTCATTTTTTAGAAAATAGTTTCGTTTTCATAAACGATTGTGGTCATTTTTGGTTTGTGGAAAATGTTCCGTCAAATTTTGACAGAAGTCATTTTTCTCTAAAATAGTCATATTTTTCAAGTTAACGGAAAATGCTTTCCGTTAAATTAATTTTCCTAACACATCCAGACACTAGAACCCGAAAAATGATTTTCAAAAATAATTTTTCGAATATCCAAAGACACCCTAAATTTACTTTTCCAATGTAAGTTCCATCATCATATCGCAAACTAAACTACGGTAATCTAAATTTATTTAAATATAGAATTTATTTTTATACAAAAAAAAAAGAATATTTCCTGATTTATTTTCACGTGTTTTTACGTACAGTATCCCCGTGAACTCTTACCTCTGCAGTTTATTTAAAATTATTAAGCAAAAAAAAAAAAAAAAAGAGTACTAAAACGAAACGAAAAACAAGGAAATGTCACGGAGATAGATGTTGGATTCGTTTTATGGCTGTTTAATTAATAAAAATAATTAAAATTTATTAGGTATAATGATGTAGACTGATGCATATTCACAGGTGAAAATGTGAAGGCAGACTACTTGTCTCCATATTTGGAAGCGCTTACCCCAAGTTTCAAAAATGGAGTTAATTTTGCAATAGGTGGCTCACAGACACTTCCTAAATTTGTTCTTTTCAGTTTGAGCACTCAACTTCTTCAATTCAACCGTTTTCGCACCCGTTCTCTTGAATTTCACTCAAAAGGTATTTTAATTTTAATAGACAAAAATTTTATAATCTAGTGATATATGTACAATATTTTTTTTAAAAAATAAAAGTTCTCGAATTGATTTGGTTACCATTAAATTAAAATCCAATAAAATAGGGACGAACGGCATGCTTGGAGAAGAGGACTTTGAGAATGCATTATATATGATAGACATAGGGCAAAATGATATTGCGGGTGCCTTTTCCTACCTCTCTAAAGCTCAAGTCATTGAAAAAATTCCTTCTTTCATTTCTGAAATCAAAGATGCTGTTTGGGTATGCCCAATTCTTTCTTCTTCTTTCTTATTTCTTTTCCAATAATATATGCTATGTGATCAAATTATTATTATTATTATTATTATTATTATTATTATTATTATTATTATTATTATTATTATTATTATTATTATTATTATTATTATTATTATTATTATTATTATTATAATATAGGCAATATACAAAGTTGGTGGGAGGAAATTTTGGGTGCACAACACTGGACCAGTGGGTTGTCTACCTCGGACTCTTGCAACAACAAAAGTGAGAGATCCGAATACTGAATTTGAAGAAACTGGCTGTATCAAGTCTCTGAATGAAGCTGCACAAGAATTCAACGTTAAACTTAGTGATCTTTGTGAAGAATTGAGACATGAAATGAAGGATGCTACTATTGTGTATGTGGATATTTACACCATTAAGTACAACCTCATCTCCAACTCTGCCATCTACGGTAATCTTTCTCCATGCACTATTATAAGTTATTCTATTTTATTTTTGAAAGGATAAGTTATTCTATTTATATTTCTCTTATCTCACGTTAATGCGTCATAAAAATAATAAAAAATTAAATATTTAACTCTCTATTGTTAGGGTTTAGCCGTTTTAGCTTGAGTTATTATTTTCAATTGTTTCAAATTTTTACAATTTTGACAAGTTTAAAGAAACTTAGTTAAGGTTGAGAAAGCATGTGTGCAACAAGATAAAATAATATAAGATTTCTTAAAATAATCTTAATGATGTGCATGCTTTCTTAGCTCTAACAAAATTTCTTCAAACCGTCGTCATAGCAGGGCTAAATTAAAATTATAATGATTGATTGGCCCTCTCGGGGTCGAACCCATTACACAGGATCTTATTAGTGCAATTTACCTCTTGTGTATGATTAGTAAGCTATTATACGAGAGCGACGTTTGTCTACTGTACACCTTCTCGAGTGGTGGTTGCAAGTTTCCTTCATCACCCAACAAAAATATGATAATTAGGAATATATAAATGAAAGTGATATTTGCTCACCCACGATAATTAGTGACTAAAATGACTAAACACTAACCGGGCGTTTGGTTGGAGGGGGGGAATTATGTGGGAAAGGAATTGTAATTCCATGGGAGTTGAATTACTGGGAATAAAGTGGGAATTTAAATTCTAGTGTTTGGTTGACAGGAATAGAATTACTGGGAATTTCAATTCCAATGTTTGGTATACATGGAAATTGAAAGGGAATAAGTAGTATAAAGTCAAAAATGTCCATTATTGTTGTTAGACATTAATTTTAGGTTAAAAAAAAAGTGGTAATTTTGACTCATCACTAACTTTTTTTTCCCAGGAATTAAAATCCCATGGGGGGACATGGGATTTTAATTCCATGAAAATGGGAAAATTGCAATTCCATGGAATTGCAAATCCCTCCAACCAAACTACGGAATTTAATGGCCTTTGGAATTAGGTGGGAATTAAGTGGGAAGGGAATTTAAAACCCCTCCAACCAAACGCCCTGTAACAGTTGAAAAGTTAAAATCACACTTTTCTCTAAAGTAAAAATACTTTTTTTGTCTTTGTCAAATGTCAAATAATGAACCGTACCACATGCGTTTACACCTCATGTCAAGTTTAACAAGTAGACTTTATATATAACGTTTTATATCGGATTTAAATAATTTTATGTTTTGATTAAAATGAATATATAGGGTTTGAGAATCCATTAATGGCATGTTGCGGAGGTGGTGGTGCACCATACAATGCCAACATATCGTGTGGACAGAGTGGGTTTAGCGTATGCAAGGATGGGTCGAAATATATAAGCTGGGACGGAGTGCATTACACGGAGGATGCAAATGCAATGGTGGCTGCCAGTGTTCTATCTACAAATTATTCAACTCCTCCATTCAACTTTGACTACTTTTGTTCCACTAATTCCTAATTGCGCTATCAGATCAGATCAGCTCCCACACCGTACAACTGCACTTCAAGATTTGTGTTGTTCTGAAATAATCGCAATGGTTAATTAGTTGGATGTGTAATCAAAGTTTGAGATGTCTCAATGGGGAATATAATTATTTGCATTTAATTATTTTAGCATAAATCAATTTTATTCTAAGGAATATATATGCTATGATTCTTCACTCTGGTAATGCAATCCGTTATTCACTAAACATTAACTATAACAATTTGATCAAGTTGTCAAACCGTTAAAGTTGGATAAATTCATAGAAAAAAATGAATTTGTTTGTTCAACTTAGAATAAACGAATCCATTGAGGATCCGTTTGGAAAGCAGGAAAATGCTTTCTCAAAAATGAGTCATCATTTTTTAGAAAACATTTTTCTTTTTAGTGTTTGGTTGCATTATGAAAAACTATCTTGTGTGTTTGGATCATTTTTTAGAAAATGAGTAGAATTATATAATTAAACATTTTAATTATTTTATTTAGAATATAAAAATATTTATAATAATATTAAATATAATTTTATTCATTAATATATATATATATATATATATATATATATATATATATATATATATATATATATATATATATATATATATATATATATATATATATATATATATATATATATATATATAGAGAGAGAGAGAGAGAGAGAGAGAGAGAGAGAGAGAGAGAGAGAGAGAGAGAGAGAGAGAGAGAGAGAGAGAGAGAGAGAGAGAGAGAGAGAGAGAGAGAGATAGAGTTGAGTTCAAATGAGGACCACTATATTATAGAGGACTGTGCAGACTGGTATAGTCGTGTGCCATTATTCTGTATATCGTGTGTCTGGCCTAATGTAGATGTGTGCCACAGTTTGTATGTCGTGTGTATAGGTTTGTTAATTAACAGAGTCTGGGTTCGAAACTTGATGTTTACATGTATTCTTGTGTGCCATTGTGTATTAAATTGTGTGCATGATACTAATTTATTGTGTGCCCGTAATAAGTTCGCACAGTCCTCTATATATTGTGGGCAACATCCTGAATGGATTGTGTGACACGCTATATGATGTATATCGAAAGATAAGTACATCAAAAGCGTTGTGGGAAGCTTTGGATCATAAATACCGAAGTGAGGATGCCAGCTCAAAGAAATTTGTGGTTAGCCGATTCCTCGACTTCAAAATGATTGATTCAAAAACCGTGCTAAGTCAAGTAGAAGATTTGCAATTAATCTTTGATGAGATCCGTGACGAGGGCATGGTGCTAAGTGAAGCCTTCCAAGTAGGATCTGTGATCCATTTGTTGCCTCCAGGTTGGAAGGACTTCAAGAACTACCTTAAGCATAAGCGAAAGGAGATGAATCTGGAGGACCTGATCCAGCGACTCAGGATTGAGGAAGGGAACAGGACGAATGATAGGAAAGTTCCTATCATTGTTGGCGCTAAGACCAACGTTGTGGAGCACGGTAAGAGCTCCAAGAGGAACAAGAAGGACAAGCGAAAGCTAGGTCCGAAAGGTGGCGTTACCAAGAACAAGTTTCCTGGTAAATGCTACAATTGTGGCAAGCATGGCCACAGAGCATCTGAATACAAGGCTCCAAGGAAGAAGAACAAGAGTTCTGAAGCCAATGTTGTTGGAGATAGCAGTCAAAAGGAGGTCGAGATTAGCCTTTCGGCTATGGTGACCGAGGTGAACCTCGTGAAGGCATGAGCAAGGTGGTTCTGAAGATGACTTCCGGGAAGGAACTGACGTTGAACAACGTGCTGTACGTTCCAGAGCTGAGGAAGAATCTTGTGTCTGGCTCACTATTGAACAAGCATGGCTTTCGCATGGTGTTCGAGTCAGACAAAGTAGTTTTGTCCAAGTTAGGGATGTTTGTTGGTAAAGGATATGTAACTGATGGGCTCTTTAAGCTCAGTGTAATTCCTATTATCAATAAAAACAAAGTTAATTCTGTTTACTTGCTTGAGTCTTCCAATTTGTGGCATGGTAGACTAGGTCATGTTAATTTTAATTCTATGCGTAGATTAATTAGCATGGACCATATTCCTAATTTTCAAATTGACACAAATAACAAGTGTGAAATTTGTGTTGAGGCAAAACTGACGAAAGTACCTTTCAAATCGGTTGAAAGGGAAACTGAACCACTAGAATTAATCAATAGTGATTTGTACGATTTTAGATCGATACAAACGAGAGGTGGTAATAAGTATTTTATCACATTTATCGACGATAGCACACGATACTGCTATGTGTATTTGCTTAAAAGCAAAGATGAAGCCGTTGATAAATTCATTCTTTATAAGAATGAAGTGGAAAACCAACTTAATCGAAGAATTAAGAAGGTTAGAAGCGATAGAGGTGGTGAGTACGAAGCACCGATTGGTGACTTCTGTGCAAGTGTAGGTATAATACACAAACGTACGGCACCTTACTCACCTCAATCGAATGGTGTTGCCGAACGAACGAATCGTACATTGAAAGACATGATGAATGCGATGCTTATAAGTTCGGGCCTACCTCAAGATGCGTGGGGTGAGGCGATTTTGACAAGTAATTACCTTTTGAATAAGGTACCCCGCAAGAAGCTCGATAAGACTCCTTATGAGCTGTGGAACGGTAGGAAACCTTCCTACTAGTACCTGAAAGTGTGGGGGTGTCTTGCCAAAGTTTTGGTGCCAACACCTAAGAAAATAAAGATAGGTCCTAAGACAGTGGACTGTATCTTTATTGGCTATGCACATAATAGTAGTGCTTATCGGTTCTTAGTACATGAGTCCCATAATCCGGATGTACACGAGAACACGATAATAGAATCAAGGAATGCATATTTCTTCGAAAATATACTTTCTTGTAGGTCCAACGAGGGACCAAGTACGTCAAAACGAACGTTTGACGAAACTATGGATAATGATAATGGGGAATCTGAGAAAGAACCCGAGCTCGAGCCGAGACGCACTAAGCGGGCGAGAGTTGGAAAATCATTCGGTCCTGATTTTCTAACTTACTTGTTAGAGTATGATTCGGGTACTCTAACTTGTTTATTAGAAAATGAACCCGATTTTCTATCTTGTTTGATAGAGAATGAGCCTCGAACGTATGTAGATTCTATCCTATAGAATCACACTTGGGAACTTGTTAATCTTCCTCCGGGTAGTAAACCCTTAGGATCCAAGTGGGTCTTTAAAAGGAAGATGAATCCGGAAGGTTCCATCGAGAAGTATAAGGCTAGGTTTGTAATCAATGGTTACAGGCAACGCGAGGGCCTCGATTACTTCGACACGTATTCTCCCGTGACGAGAATAAACTCCATAAGGATGATACTTGCCATAGCCGCGCCGCGGAACTTGGAAGTTCATCAAATGGATGTGAAAACCGCTTTCTTAAATGGCGAATTAGATGAGGAAATCTATATGGAACAACCTGAAGGGTTCGTGGTTCCGGGCCAAGAAAGGAGGTGCAGCCGTTGCATGGAAATCCTCTAAGCAAACTGTGATAGCTAGATCCACGATGGAATCTGAGCTGATAGCCTTGGACAAAGGTTGTGAAGAGGCTGAATGGCTATGCCATTTTATAGAGAATATTCCTAATTGGGAAAGACCGGTACCTCCAATATGCTTGTGTGCATTGCATAGTCAAGCCACAATTGGAAGAGTACAGAGTCATATGTATAATGGTAAGTCTAGACATGTGCGTCGTAGACATAATACAATTAGACAACTACTCACAACTGGTGTTGTCTCGATCGACTACGTAAAGTCAAAAGACAATATAGCGGATCCGCTGACCAAAGGGTTAGGCAAAGAAGTTGTGGAGAAGTTGACACGAGGAATGGGTCTAATGCCCTTGGACTAAAAAGTTCTATAGTGGATACCCAACCTAGCTGGCACCTAGGTTCAATGGGACAACTAAATTATGGAATAGAGCGGGTCACTATGGGGGTCTCGGACTCCCTACCACTCCTCGTTAAAACAGTGACTCCCGCACGAGGCTAGCATTTTAAATGGTTTAATGATTCTTGAGTATTCGGGATACTCGAGAAAGAATCACCTATGTTAGAGAGAAGTGAGGGTCGCTTCAAAGGAAAATGGTTGGACAACAATTCTTTAGAAACTCTCGTAGAACCAGGAACGGTGACTCACGACCAAAACGGGCACACTTGTGAGAGCAAGAGCATGTTTGGGAGACTCCTGTGTGAGATATGTCATCGTCTACACAAACGCAGTCGGTTCAAAGACATCACGTTCTACCGTACAGCTAGTAGAGTAAACATGTCTTCACAAGGGAAGGTTCAAAGGGTATAGTGACTCCCTACCTATCCTATGCAGGGATCGACCGTTTGAACACAGTTGTTTCCGATTTGAAAATACCCCGAAAATCAATTTTCATTCATGTGGGGGATTGTTGGAAAAAATATCTTAAAATGGCATGTTAAGTGGCTGTTTTGTGGTACAATTTTCAGTGGGGTCCACTTCCGATTTGGGTCGGGTCAAAGTGGATTCGGGTACTTCTTAGTGAGACGAAGAGATTGATATATTGTACGCTCAAAACGGATAATGGGTGAATGAGATATTGATTCTCAAAGTAGACCCATTTGAGTTGGAAAATAAAGGGAAAAAGTGAGTTTTTGTCCCACATTGGTTTGGAAAGAGGATTTGCCCCCCTTATATACAAGAGCTCTTTTGAAACTTGTAAATTGTATAGTATAGAGGCTTTCTCGCGCGCGCGTAGGGTGAGGGGGTGCAAATCACATTCCAACTAGACGAGATTGAAAAAAGGCTTGTGCGCCGGCACCTGCGAGCACAAATGTCGTCCGTAAATTGACATGCCTTGTAAGCTAAGTTATGCCATATTTCGGTATCATTCTCCAATTTAGCCACACAATATTGTTTCTTGTTTCGTGAAATGAAACTAAAACAATATTGCAATACAGTTTCTTAAGTTTCGTGAAATGGTTTAAGTTTCGTGAAATGGTGAAATGGTTTCACCTTGGCCGAAAGTGGTGGTTTCGGCCTGATGGCCAAAAGTGGTAGTTTCGGCTTGATGGCCGAAACTACCTAGGCCGAAAGTTCGGCCTTGTCATGGCCGAACTGAAGCTTCTGTTTGTGACTGTTGGAATTTAATTCAGCTGTTACA